GCAGATAGTTGGGTACTGGGTGAATGGTTCTGTCACATTCAGCCCTACATTAAGAATTACCTTTATGTAGTAGGACTGTATCTCATATGTTCTATGACAACTTGCAAGCTTGTCATCCTACGTGCGCCTCTGAGAGCCAGGGGACTGGAGTCAAGAAAGGCTCACATTGGTTGTGCAGTTATTTGGATATCTGTGTTAAGTATTCCAGCTGCTTTCTTCTTGGTAGACAAAAGTGACCAAATCTACGTTTACAGATCATACACCTGTGATTTTGGTTATTCCTCTGTTATCTGGAAATGGCTAAGACCACTGCTGTCCACGGTCTTCATGGTCATTCCAAATTTTCTAGTTATCGCTTCTACCGTAAATTTGCTCATCATTGCGAAGAAAGTCGCTAGTCAAGGGAGGCACACGATCAAATGGCAAGGCATCATAACTATTATCCTTATTGCAGTCATCTACTGCTTATCACTCATACCTTACGCCATCTACATTTTTGTTGGCCCTAGATTGGCAGATAAAAAGAGTTTCTTCCACAACGAATACCTCAGGATCTCCCTTTCCTGTGTCTACTTCAACACTATGAGCAACTTCTACGTCTACAGCTTGACAGTTACTAGCTTCAGAGAGTTTCTCTTGTCTCGGATATTGGGCTCTAAACAGTTGATGTCCAGCAATGCTATTGCTTCTAGCCAAGGTAAATATCCTGAGTGTTTTTAATTAGCCATGATTGCATTGAACTGCATTATTCTGACATTTTCTAATGAGCATGATATTAGAAATGTCAAGACCATGATAATTTTATTCAATCTGGCAGGTCCAAGGATAGAAGAAACAAACTCAGGAAGAAACGAAGAAGACCAAGACACTAAGACATGAGTATGAGTATACCTTTAGATGTCCAGGCGTGAAAGGTATGGTCGACGAAAACACGAATAAAAGCCACCGAGAGAAACATTCGAGTTAACGACAGTGAATTATTTGAGAGACAGATTACCAAGATACGTATAAAAACTTGTTGTAACCATTTAAAGTTTCAAAAGCACTTTATGTGGTCCTTGGTAACCATTCTTATTTCCTTTTCAAGTTTTAACTGTATAGTGTGCAATATCTCGTACATTTGACTTGCAGTTTCAATTTTCGTGTGATTTCACGATCATGAATTTTACTTTTATGTGCCAGTGCTATAATAGTAACAGTGACAGTGTTTTGACAATTGAAAAAAGAAATTTTGCCCCTTATGCTTTACGAGTGTGACGTTTAATAAATGATTTTTGAAAGATTGGTAATGGATATTTTAGGGCAGGTTTCCATAAATGAAATTTTTTAATCAGCGCTGATAATCGCTTATTGGGCGCTTTTTAAAAAAACAGCCTTTTATAATCGATTTTTTAACGATTATATAAGCGGTTCAAAAAAATCGCTTATAATCGACTATAATACGTCAAAAATAGCGGAAATTAAAGACCTAGGCTATAATATTGTTCACCAATCTAGAGCTGGTAGAGGAGGTGGTGTCGCTATTGCCTTTAAGAAAGATCTTAGCTTCAATAAACGCCCTACAAAGACCCATAAATCCTTTGAACATGTTGAGAGTGTGCTGAAGTCAAGTTCCAATGACCTTCTTCGTTTCTGCTGTGTCTATCGATCTTGTACGGCTAAAATGTCCAAAATGACAGACTTTTTACGGGAATTTGATGAATATCTTGACAGTCTAACTCACCTTCCAGGTAGACTGATCATTGCTGGAGACTTCAATATCCATGTCGAAGACCTCACTGATCCTGATACGATAAATTTTATCCATCTCATATCAAACTATGGCCTCATCCAGCATATTTCCAGTTCAACACACATTGGGGGTGGAATCTTAGACCTTGTTCTTACTAGAAGCAATGCGTGTGATATGTTGAACATAAAAGATATAGATGTAGCTAAAACAGTAACAACATCAGATCACTACTTCGTAAATTTCTCTATTGCCTTTCCTCACCACAAAGGAAGCAACAAAGAAGATATGGTGGGCAGAAAGATATCAGATATAGACATAAATCTTTTTAAGGAGGATCTGTTGCTATCTGACATAAATGACCCCAACAAGTTTATTGACTGCAACTCTGCCACGGAACTCTATAACAAAGAACTTCGCAGAATTCTTGATAAACATGCTCCCCTTATCTGTTTTAGCATTAATCCTGATCAAAGCAAGTGGGTGGACACAAAATGTCAAACTGCCAGAAGGAAACGAAGAAAAGCTGAACGTGACAACAGGAGACTTAAAACTGCAGATTCAAAATTAGACTATAAAAAAGCTGTTAAGCATGCCGAGGCAGTTATAAACACCACTAGACAGCTATACTATGAAAATCGTCTGCAAAGCTGTGAGGACAATAAAAAAGATACCTACAAAATAGTCAATCAGCTGATGGATCGGGACATATCTAAAAACTTGAAGCCTAATAACAAACCTGCTGAAACTCTATGTGAGGAGATGAAAGAGTTTTTCAATGATAAAGTGGAAAAGATTTACTCTGCCATTAACAATGATACTGCAGCTGACATTCTTCTTGCCCACTCTGAACCATTTCAAGGTGAAGCCTGGAGCCAATTTGAAACCATAAGCGACAATGATCTCAAAAAGATTCTTTCTGACCTTAACAAAAAAGAATGTGAAGAGGATCCCATCCCTCTAAAACTTCTAATGCAGTGTTTTAATGAAGTTAAACCAATTGTGTCATTTATTATCAATGACTCACTTGTCACTGGAAAATTTCCGTCAGTCCTAAAGAGTGCTCTTGTCAGACCAGCCATCAAAGATGATAAAGGAGATGTCAATAGCTTCAACAACTATAGACCGATTAGTAACTTACCTTTCCTCTCGAAACTCATTGAAAAGAGCGTCCAGAAACAGATGACCAAACATCTTGACTATCACAATCTTCATGCTGAGCATCAAAGTGGTTATAGGTCAAATCATAGCTGCGAAACTGCGACCCTTACCATCTACAATGATCTTCTTTGTATCAGTGACATGAAAAGTAAGGTTATCCTCCTCCTTTTGGACCTCAGTGCTGCTTTTGATACTGTAAATCATCACTTGCTCCTAAAAAAACTAAAAAAGGACTTTGGTTTTGAAGGTACTGTTCTCGAATGGTTTACATCATACCTTAATAACAGATCCTTCACAGTAACTATTGATAAATCAAGATCAAAGAGATGCTTCCTTAGAATTGGAGTCCCGCAAGGTTCAATTCTAGGTCCAATTCTGTTTATACTTTACACAAAGGAGCTCAATCAGATCGCAAAGAGACATGGATTTAACATCCACATGTACGCAGATGACACTCAACTGTACATTGAGTTTAACCCACTATTTCGAGATCTCTCAACAATCGAAGAGAGAATAACAAATTGTTTTGAAGATATTAAGACCTGGATGACCCAAAATAAACTCAAACTGAACCAAAACAAAACAGAAGCTCTTGTAGTACAGACCAAGAACAGTTACTCTTCATGTCCAGTCGATTCAATACAACTTGACAATGCAGCTGACCCTGTGGATGCATCCCGCACAGTGAAAAGTTTAGGTGTCCTATTTGATCAATTCCTAACATTTGAAGACCAAATAAATTCAATTATCAGTTGCTGCAACATCCATCTGAGAAACCTTCGAGTTATAGGCTCAAAGCTTAACTATGATCTAAAAAGACAGCTCATTCACTGCTTGATCTTTTCAAAACTAGACTACTGCAATGGACTCTTGTACGGTTTACCTGATCTTCTAATAAAGAAACTCCAGAAGGTACAAAATTCCTGTGTTCGATTCCTGTTTGGTTGGAAAGCTATCAAAAAATGGGACAGTGTCACTCCATTCCTGAAAAAAGCCCATTTTCTTCCGATACGACAACGAATAGAGTATAAGATTGCTCTAACCGTGTTCAAATGCGTTAACAACATAGCGCCGGAGTATATCATCAAATGTATTGACATCAAAAGTCAACCTGTACGTGTACTAAGAACTGAAGAAGACTATTTCCTCCTAAATGTTCCTCCTATTTCAAACTATAGTAAAACCGAGAGAAGTTTCAGCTACTGCGGACCCTCTGTTTGGAATAAGCTTCCTTATCAATTGAGAACACTAACCGATATCGTCTTATTTAAAAAGAAACTAAAAACTCATCTCTTTGAAAACGTATTTGTATAAGTATCATGTATTACCTTTCTCATAAAATCCATACTTCATAAAAATAAGTTCTTATGTACATGTTACTCATGAGTCGCTTTAGATGGTTTGAACTGAATCTTTGGGTTTTGAGTTCTTTATGGCTATAAAGCGATGTATAAATTCCTACTTATTATTATTATTATTATAATTGATATAATTTCAGTCTATCAATTTTTGAATTGCGTCTTTTTGATTTAATGAACTACTGCAGACTCCACATTATTATAGTATATGCCATTAATTTTGTTCCGATTTTAAACTATTCCATTTTGACGAGATTCTAAATTAATTTTTTGAGACTTTACTACATTTTTGATGAGAATTTTTGACATTTTCATACTAACCTTTGATATTCTCAGATTATGTGACTGATTAAATGCTGAAGATAAAAGAAATATATTCATTTTGCTAAGATTATGTTTGTTTTTCATTGCTCAACAGCTGTTCGAAGGATCAAATTTAAGATAATTAAGTTACTAACTAAGTTACTAACTAAGTTACTAACTAAGTTACTAACTAAGTTACTAACTAAGTTACTAACTAAGTTACTAACTAAGTTACTAACTAAGTTACTAACTAAGTTACTAACTAAGTTACTAACTAAGTTACTAAAGTCTAAGTTAATTAAGTCTAAGTTACTAACTAAGTTACTAACTAAGTTACTAACTAAGTTACTAACTAAGTTACTAACTAAGTTACTAACTGAGTTACTAACTAAGTTACTAACTAAGTTACTAACTAAGTTACTAACTAAGTTACTAACTAAGTTACTAACCCTCATTGAGTACCGGGTTGAACGTCTAGTAGGTTGAGGGCTGGGTGATTTGCTCTTCAGCTCCTGAAATTATGGATCCGGTCCCTTATCTTGATTATGGCAATAAATGTGGGAACTGAAAACTGGTCAAATTATTTTAATGAAGCTAGCAGACAAAGTTCTCTCTCACCAGTTTAGGGCCCTTTTCTTCTTTCATCTCCACTGCTTCTTCTCCCTCGGAGCCAGAAACACTAACATCTATTTGCTTTCTTTTGGTCAACTTCTAAAAAGTTTAGGTTTCAGCTGTTAACAAAATGTCAGTCCTAACTTTGTCATTTCCTCCTTAAAACTCTAGCCTACTCTACAAAATTAAATATGCTTTGCATCCCTTACCCGTTACCCTATTGCCTTCTTCACAATCCTTAACCCGACCCGAGAGGTGGGGCAGATGAAATTCAGGTGAAGGCCACCGTTATGAGGCCGAGGTCAACCCATTGAACAACTGTAAATTGTTTTGAAACAACAAAAGTTGCTAGGTTACGATCAGTATAATATTATATAGTATACATATTTGGAAATCTTGACTAAGAACACCTTGTATACCTTATTTGGCTGTTCTTTCTTCTTTTTCTCCTTCAATTTCCTCTTCGCGTCTCTTTCCTCTTCAAGTTTCTGCTTTTTTGTCTTGAAGCCAGCTATTCGCTTCTTTTTCTTCTCAGTTTTCACCCAGGACGCATCAGATTTTGCCGGACTCTTCTCATCGAAATCAAACTTTCCTAGTTTTGGTGTTGAAGGACCTGTATTTTTAATCAAGAATTTCTTTTTCAGTATTGACTGTCTCCCAGGTGGAACCGGAATAATTTCTTCTGCAAATGTTTCATCGGAATTTTCACGTCTCCTCATTTGATTAAGAGAATTGTTCTTTGAAATGACAAAAGTTGAAGATGTATTTATGGGTGGAAGTTCTCTTTTGCGAGCAAAGGCAGGTAATTTCTTTACTTGAGAAGGAGTCGGTGATTCCTGAGAATTTTGAGAGCACAGATAATTTTCATCAGTATCCATTAGCCGACGCTTAAAGGCACCCTGTAACTTCTTCTGAGCTGGGGAATTCTTCGCAGACAGAGCCTCTTTACAGGATTCTTTCAGACCATCTTTCAGCATAGATTTGTAAACATCGCCAGGACTGCTAGGAGCTTTCATACTGATATCCTGATTTATTCGTTCAAGTTCTTGACTTAGATTTGGGGAATTATCCTCAGAGCTTGACTCTAAAACCTCAACTCTTATCTGTTCTTTCTCAGGCGATTCAATTTCAATTTCAGTTCTTGGATCCTCAATTTCAATGATAGGGTCATCCATAGCTTTAACCACATTCAAGACTTCAATGCTGTCTTCTTTGTCACTAGGTTTACTCAACATCTGTCTGTCAAAATTATTTTGTATTTTAATCGTCTCATCAGTTTTTGCAGCCACAGGACCCTTCTTGTTGTCTGTCCCAACTAGAATGACTGCTGAAGCTGGCTCACAATCTTCAAATTTCAGAGGTTTCTTCTTTTTCTTATAGTTCTTAGTGCTTGAAGCTGACGCAAGATTAGACATATCTAGAGATGGTTTGGTAACTCTATTTGCCTTTTTCAAATCTTCTACACATGTTGTCTCATTTTTTGGTGAACTTTCTTCTTTTACTGGAAAATCGTTGACAAAGTCTTCCATTGTGTCATCTCCGACCGACAACTCTGAATCGTTGATTTTACTGTTGTAGTCAAAGGAACTCTGCAGTTGCCAATTAATATCATCACCGGTATTATCAACCAACTTTAGTGAGTCAGGTATGACAGTGGCAGGCAATGAGTCAGGGATTGTTTTGATCGGTGATGACGTCACTGGATCTTCATTTTCAACTGGAGATGGTGTAGGAACTTTGGGGTTTGTCAGGATCGGCTCTGACGCGATAAAAGATTTTAACTTTTGCTTTTCTGGTTGAGAAAGCCCAAGTTCAAACTGTGGTAGAGGTTCGTTTATTTTTTCTGAAAGCATCTGTCGAGTCTGACTTATTCTGATGGCCCGTTCTTCCTGATAAATAGTTCAATATTACGAAGGAGGCCACAGGAAGGCTTAAATCCGCTAAAAATCCAAGTTTTATCGATCGAAGATATGTGTGCAGAACAACCAATTGATTAAAAGCATATGGTGATTTTTAAAAGCTTACAGATTTTAACAGTATTTGAGTATTTATCATTGAAAAAGGTTGAAACACCTTACCGGCACAGGAGTAGACACTATCGTGGTGACGTTACCACGAATCTGGATAGTTTCCGCTGATACGTCAACTCTTGCCATTTTACTTAACTTAGGACTATCAGGAAAGTGCTGGCCCAATAGTCCCAAGATTGCACCTTTAGGGTCGGGATGTGTGTCCAGGACAAAGTGGATTGTTTTAGAATCACCGCCCGTTTTAGAGTCCAGTAGAGTACAGATAGGAATGTTAAGCTTCAAGACAAGGTGAAAGTTCCCGTCTTCTACCGTGTGTTCATGTTTCAGTACACTTGTTGGGTTGATTATCAGTGTTTCAAACTGCCCATCTCCTTGCTGGGATGGAAGCAAGTTACATTTAAAGATTATATCTTATGGTGGAATTTACATGATTATCGAGGAAGTATAATATTTCTTTTGATAAAATTATACTGTATTAATATTTTCACTGTAAAACGTATTGTCCATTAAAATTATCTATCATGAACTTGGAGCAGAATCACCTCGGTAGGTAGCAGTACGAATATTGTAATTGTCTTGGATCCAAAATTTACATCGAGCCAATTCTGATTGGGTGCAATCTGCAAATCCTCAGTTCCGACATTAACTCGCTGGCACTTGTATGAGTAAACCCTGAAGATATTCCAGATAGATCAAATTGGTCTGTTATTAAAGAATATATAATATTATTATGAATTTAGTTCGATTCTCCACTGTAAAATTATAACTGTAATTACGGGTAAAAAAACCGATGACTTTTAAAACCAAGTAAGTTTGTAAAATAATTGTCTGAATACATTCGCTGTTCCTTGCCATCGTTGACTGTATTTAGGAAAATCCTGCAATCTTTTTCAAAAGTGGCATCTTTGATACGTAAAAAGTTTTCTTGCATTATATGGTCGTCGGGAAACAGATCATCTAAATGCTGTTTTCTCAACGAATGGCTTTTAAGTCTAAAAAGAAGCTCCATCAAGAGAACTTGAAGTTCATAATCTCCGCTAGCTTTTACAGTGTCACCCAGATTTAACCTGCAGAAAGCTATGATTAATAACGAAAACTGAACAATAATCTACCAATATTATGATTAGTCATTATCTGTAGTCTGTATTATATAATATAACATATGTCTTATGGCCATGGGGACTCACCACTTAGCCTTGACCTCTGAAAGTTCTGTAAGAGACTTGTGCACTGATTCACCGCCTGGTTCTTCAAGTATAACGTTCAGGGTCTTTGCAGCCTAAACAGATATTGAATAGAACGGCGAGAGACTGAGAAGGTATATTTGCGTATATTTGAAATAAGAAGCATTCCTACGTTTATGGGAATGCTTATAATACTACTGTATATTATTACAAGCTTGAAAACATGATAATGGGCTATAATTATAAAAAACAATATGATGTCAATACCTCCATCTGAATATCGTATGGAAATATCCCATTCAAGTTAACAGCAATATCAAAGAGAACTGGAGCAAATAGGGTTGACACTGGAATCTCACCTGGGACATAAGTTCAATGATTTTATGGTACAGAAATTGTGAGTTGGAAAGAATTTTTACAGTTGGAGAAAAGCTCTAGTAGCTAGCCTTTCTTATAGACACAATGCACGATCCATATGATTCAATTTGTGTCAACTTACGTTTTATGCTTGCACTCAGAATCTCCTGAAAATGTTCAGTTTAGCGACAGTAATAAAATTGAGATATGGAATAGTAAAGTCACGATCTCAACTTAGAAGATGTATAAATTTAAGACTGTTGTGTATTATGTACCAAGGACTGTGTAAAAAATCATTTCTTTTCTCCCAAACTTCGCGGTAAATCGGGGTATTACTGTATTACTGTATCAAGAACTGTGTAAAAAATCATTTCAAAGGCACCTAAACTATTTTTGAAAAATATAATTATAATCGTCATCAAATATTGGGATTATAGGGTGAGAATCCTTGTCACGTTTTTGGTCAGCTTCGCCGGGGCTCATGTCTCTTTCCTCGAGGGAGCATTAGTGTCTACAGAAAAACTGACAAATCCTAGCGAAGTCCAATCCGAACCACATCTTCCATCAGAGGTGGTGCTGGGTCAGCTGGTTACTGAACGGATTGGCCTGGAGAATGGCATAGTCCTATTATTCTCAAGTTAACCATAGAGGGGGTCAGGCACTGTACGCTCAAGGCTGGTTCTTGGAGCCAACACCCTCAGCCCCACAGAAGTGGGAGCACTGTCGGTGGTGGCACACCCAGAGAACGGACAGTGTCTCTCCTTCTTTCTTCTTGGACCTGCATTGCTGCTGGCGAGTCAGCCAGTAGCAATGCAGCATCTCACTCACTCAATCACATCAGCAGTTCAATCACAGAGACTGGCACTCTCTACTCCGCCACGGAAAGTGGACAAAAATAACCCATCCAGTCATGGAAAAATGACAAATTGAACCAGCCGCAAAACCATGTTAAACCACGGAATATTACTAAAACTCCAAAGCGAGCGCTCTACAACAGGAAGAATCTGGAAAGCGCACAGACAAACCAGTATAGAAAGGACCAAAATCAGCACTCCACGAGAGCGCGAGACAGCCGCGCGCAGCATAACAAAACAATCTGAAACAAAGGGACGTCAAAAGTTTAATACACCAAAGATAAACCAAAGGATCATCACACCAGGGTTCGAGTTTAATATCATCTCAACTCGATCCTCCAAAATACTAAAAGCACGACACAACCTCGAGGATCACCAGGGCAGGCCCGCTAGCATAATGCGGTGGTAGTTCCTCGAAGTAACGCACTACCTTTTCCGGGAGGGTGTTTCGACACCTGACTCCAGACGGGTTCTATGGAGTCTCTCGATGACGGATCATTATGGCAGATAACCTTAGGGTCATCGCCGATCCACCGGGTCATAACTATGTTATGTCTTTTGGACGTACCGGGCTCTGCGAACCCCATGCCAAGCAGAGCAAAAGGTACAAAGCCTGCAGTCCAAAGGAGCTCCATCAGACGTTAGCCACAAGGCGGACGTAGCCTCCTTGCTAATACGGGGAGGTAGAGTGAGCGCCCTCGACCAAAAAAAAAAAAAAAAAAAATATTGGGATTGAACATTAACTTAAAATTCAACTTAAAATTCAACACACTTACGATGATCAGCTCAAGATAAGTATGGTATATACTGTTGATGTGATGGTTCTTTTTGATAGCTGACAAATGAATGTGAAGATTTTTTAATGAGCTGAACGTTTTTTCATCTGTAACTCCATAATTATCATGAGCGAGGATTGTAGCCAATAATGACATGAGTTGTGTTACTGCGACTCCATCTGACAGTTTGCTTGTCTGATAGTTTAGATCAATTTTAGTTACAATTAATAAATAACAATTCTTGATCAAACCCAATCACCATTTATATAAAATTGTGCAACTTAGCAACTAAAATAAACCGATTAATTTCAACAATTCATTCCCCTCCCATATTCCCAGCTGAATCAAAATCAAACCTGAATGATAAGCTTAAATATCTGTTTCATGCAACGATCTGTTTGGACAAGATTCTTTTTTTTCAGATATCTGCTCAATTTTCCAGGGTGTGCGCCACTTTTATAATTGCACAGTAGACTGTACAGCTGAAATTGAAAATGAATTCCAAGAAGATATTCTATCATTCTGGCAAGTAAGTAAGTAAGTAAGTAAGTAAGTAAGTAAAAATTATGACATAACATCATCACACATGTCTACAAAGTATCAAAACACTATATGGAAAAATATAAATATCTTACCACCAAAATTAATAAATTATTAACTACAACTTCATTTAAAAAATAAGAAGTTGCCCAGGTCCCTGGACATGTCATAAACTAACATATACAAAAAAGGAATAAATAAGTTATATAAGTCAAAATAGTGATGTATCCTACCTCTTTATCAGACATCTTGATCTTTTAAGATTATTTAGATCTTCTCATCGTTTCATTCCTAAGCTATTCATTAATAAGTCTTGACTGCAGAAGTAGCCATATTTATATTGTATATAATATCCTGTCATCACTGCTCGAGAAAAAAAGAAAAAAGGGGGAATTCCCAACCCATGTAGCTGAGACACCTCACAGCTAGTGGACTAAAGTGGCTCTTGCTTGTGAAAGGTGCATCAACTACACACCAAAGCGATGGGTTGGGAGTCCCCCCTGGGATCATTTCATCAGTAAAACTTTATACATAATAAAAACTACAGTAACATATCTACAAAATTTACATTTTACATAAAAAATGTAGGAGATCTCAAAGCTCGTCTTCTGAGGGATGAGGTTGAAGGATACGTCTTTCAGTCCAAGATGCTCGACTTGAGTAATGGATATTATGTGTTTATTTAAATCAATTTATTATAATAATCTAAAATAGAATTTATGTTGTGGCATAATAGCATCACATTTCTTGTCATCCTATATTGTAGTGATTATGGGCATTTACGTTTGTAAGAAACCTGTGCCCAGTTTTGCCTCTCAGTGTATATACTGTACACAATTACAAGAGCAATCAAGGTAAAAGCAGAACTACTTTTTGGACGAGATGGCATGGACCAGGACTGGTGATACAATAAATGCCAGGACGCGGACGGGGACTAAAACTAGAACTGTCACTAAAACGGAATCTTTTGCGTAACTTCAAGTTACAATCAAGGACAAAAATAAATTGTGGCATGTATATGTGCGCAATCACGATTAAAGTAAGGATCATTCACATATTTGATATCACATAAGCCGTTTTTTGCCCTTTCATACCCCTCTCCCCTCCATAAGTCACTCTACACATAGCTATTGTGTAGAAATTACACCAGGCAAAGATTTTTCGAACCCCTGGCATGGCCCCAGTCTCCTCCTAGAGCTAGACAAGACATAACAAATTACATAACAAATAATGTGCCGTTTGAAATTGCCTTTAGAATTGCATAAGAAAATATAAAATTTACTGAAAAATCGTAAATCGATTTTAGACTCCAAACTTCAACCACCAAGTGGGTCAAAATAATAACTCAAAACTAACAAAATCAACTGCGGAATACCTGTGGATCTTTCATATAATATTCTCGCTGTCATTCGCTATAGAGAGGCTACAAAAGGGTGAAAAGTGTGTCAAACAGTATATATACATTCAATTAAATCAAGTGATGCAATTGGCAGAGCACAATAAAATTTTAAGTGTTGCAATTGGCAGAGCACAATTCATTGCTACCAATAATTTTTTCAAAAGCATTTTAACAAAACACATGATCTACTCCATTATAGGGGCAGGGATGAGGTTGTATGAAACTTCTGATAGCTGAATCTCACGTTTGGTGTCCACCTTCTTTCCTCGGTACCCTCGTAGAGCAATAAGAGTTGTTCTCAACATTGCAAATCTTATCCTAGTTCTCACGTGTCTTACTACATCGCAGTACCTTTCCTTCCTTTTTCTTGCAATGAGGTCTGCTACTCTGTTGACGAACTGCTTACACTCTTTAGACATTCCTTCAGATGTGAGGAATACAGCCGGGGTGAAGGTAGCCTTCTTCACATTCAACACTCTCTCCAAGTACTCGTCCTTCTTCTCCTTCTCGTTCTCTTCGTATACTTCTTGAAGAGTTTTTGTCCTGTTTGATAAGCAATTGGGGTGTGAAACCCTTATGTCAAGAAAGGTCTTATCAAATGGAGTCCAAACTCCTCTAGCAGATACATCAAGCCGAACTTGGTCACCTGTTATAGTCTTGGGGTTGAGGCAGTCACCCTCATTTACCTTCTGTAGCTGGGGTTCAAATTTTACATCATGACATACCTCACGAAGGAGATTTGCCATTGTGTCTCTGATGTTGTTGTGGGTCATTATCACGTAGCCCCCTAGCTTACAGGTGAGAAGGTGGTCAAGATCACTTGTTTTCCCACATCCACAGGTGATGGGAGTGTTTGGTATCCACCAACTGTAGCGTAAGCAGACACTGTCTCGAAACTCCTCTTTGTTCAGAGTGTAGCCATACTGCTGAAGTGGCAATGTGTTAAGCCAACTGGACGCTCCCTTTTCTCTTGCTGCTAGTAATGCTCTCTTAGAGGAGGTGCCACATCTTTCAGCTATAGCAATAAACTTGGCTTGGAGCTCGGAATTCTTCAATGTTTTGATCATTTCTTTCCCCGATTTGGTGAGGTTACTGGATGCAGTGTAAACTTCCTGTTGGTCCACTATTGCTTTTGTTAGCTCAGTGGTGAGTAGCTTGGAGGCTGTATACTCAGAGTGGCATTCTTCGTGGGGTTTACCAATGCCCAATCCTCCCAATCTTATTGGTAGACTTAACACGTCTCTTTCTAAGTCTGAGATCTCCCTCCCAGCATCTTTGGCAGGAGCTTTTGTCTTATCTCATGTTCTAGCGGCTCCATGGCTTCAGAGATGTGGGGCACAGTCCTTTGAACAAACTTCCATCTGTGTTGGATGCCAGCGATGTAGGCTGAGTAGGTTGCTTGGGGTTCAGATTCTGCAATATCAGCTAGCATCTTGATGTCGTCACACCACCCTTGAACCTTATCGGTAATGTACTGATCTTTGGCACCTGTATTGCCAAGTACTGCTCCAAGATGCCTGTTGTGCTTGCGAGGTAAGTTAAAACGTGCGCTATTAGCTAATCAACATAATCATGCCCTGCTTGATTGGACCGTCAAAGATTTTGACTGCACAAATGTTATTGTCCAAACATAACTGGCTGGTCACACACATCTCAATTAAAATTACGCTAGGCCACTGTTTTCCAAGTCTTGTCCTGTGAGTAAAGTATGTGTGAGAAATTTTTAATAAAATCATTGTATATTTATTTTTGAATTTTAAAAATCTAATTTGAGAATGAAGGTTAAAGAAATTTTTAATTAGCACTGTATAGTTTAAGATATTTATAGCTTATTATAACAATTGATACAAAGGCCATAATCCTTCACCAGCTCTCCAATATCCAACTTGAAGCTGCATTTTATATCCTAAATATAAACTAAATCATGTTTTAGTGTAGACTTTTTGTCACAACAAGACTGCACCCTATAGTAACAATTATAAACAGAACCTCTAATGTCTGCTAACAATTTTTCTTCTAGTCCTAATCTGAGCCTTGTCTCTAAAAACTTAACTGAACTAGCGTTTCGGTGTGTGCAAAAGCTTCCAGGCACGCGCATTCCTTGCCCCGTTAGTTACCTGTCCTTCATAAACCAAACTAGCAGTCAGGACAAAAAGTCATACACCAAATGGGCATTATATTTTATGAATTGTTTTACATCTTTTTATTCTGTAAAAATGTGCTAAAATTAAATTTCTTGTTTCATTAAAATTTCTTGTTTCATTGTTACCTGATGTTATTTGCATATTGAACTCTCCAAACAGTGCCTTGGCCTGGTCAATCATCTGAGGGTCCTTTACTACTAGAATGCTCTTAGATGGATTAGGAAAATACCCATACTTGGGTCCTACTTGGAGCAACTCCTTCCATCACTTATACACTGCTTCCAATTTCCCACCAGCAGCACTATCATCTGCAAACCACACTTGCTTGATAATATTTCGCAGGCGGTCAATAAGTGGCTTGGTGCTAAGAGCATATCCACCAGTGGCAATATTGTCTCCTTGAGTGAAACCTTCACTGCTCTTGATGATCACTCCCTTGCTATTAGCTACATAGAGGTCTGTTGGTTCCCTGTAGGTGTTCTCAAAGTATTTAGCAAGTGGTGGGCAAACGTACTGCATGTTGTTGGTAGCAGCGGTCCTGTTGAGAGCGTTGAATGCGTTGGAAGCATCGTCTAGCAAAATGGCTTCCGTGTCCTTGTTATCATGAACCTCTGCCATAGCGTGTATTGCTGCTTCAATTCCCCCTTCGTGACCTGCACATGTTTGAAGTGGTCCTGCATCCTTCTGAACATCTTTCTTTAACACCATCATCACACACTTCCCAATAATCCGTCTCAAGATCTCACCAATACCAATTGGCCTAAGGCCTGGACATTTATCTAGGGGAACCAGTCTACCAGCTGTAAGCACTGCTATTGATTGGAAATTAACATCTTGAGTACATATGCGCCTGGCTAATCTGGCAATTGCTTCAGCGAGAAGATCCTGGGAATTTCTAAAAGCACAACAGCATAAGATGTGTTGCCAGCACTCAGAGTCTACAAGCGTTGGGCCACCTGAGCCTGATGTCAGCTTAGCAGCCTTTTTCACTAATTTTGAGTCAATGACTTCAAATATAACTTCTTCAACTGCTGCTTTATCACCTGTGATCAGAATTTCATCTGTTGCAGACTTAGCAGAGGGGTGCTTTTCCTTTAGTTGTTCAATGACCATTTCATCAACATCCAACAGTCCTCCACTTTGTCGGTTGATGAGCCTGGTTGCTGCTGATACTTTGCCGTGGATCATAAGCTGTGCAAACCTGGTGGCAAGGGATCTCTCCTGGGCTTTACGTGCCTCTTCAAGTCGGTTCTGAATCTCACGCTCTTCACTGATTATAGCAGTTAAGTCACCAGATTTCCACAAATTCAGCCTTTTATCAAGATATATAGTGTGATCCTTTGCCCGTGAGTTTTTCGATGGTTTTTGTAGCATCATTGGAATGAAGATAAATAATAATTTTAAGGCCACACTCTCCCATTCTGTCCTGTCATTAAATAGGTTGATTAACCTGCTTAATTCATGAATGAAGGCATTGCCTACTTTACCCCGCGGCACTAGGAACATGTTCTTTGTCCATTTCAAAATTTCACTGTAGGCAAAATCAGCAGCATTCGAGATCTCACTTAAAGAAGCGTGCTTACCCCATTTGATAACTTTAACAGATTTAACCGGTTTCTTCTCTAAGGCCTTGCAATTCTTACATACCCACATTATTTCTGTGTGTTGCCCAAGTTTTTCAAAAGTTTTTCTGTGCATACAGCACTTGGTATGATACCATTTACCACATGGACCATCGCAATTAACACACTCGAAGCCAGTGACGTCTTGAGAGCATTTACCACATGGATATAAAACAAGAGGGGAAATATCATCGTTGTCGATTCCTTTTCTGATTGGTGCCTCAACAGGGCTATGAATATTAGGAGCTTCTACTTTCACTGAATGATATGTTTCTGATACTTTTTCTAAGTCTACTACTAGGAGTTGAGATTTAATTGACAAAGGTTTCTCTGTTCTGATGTGGCGAAAGTCATATCTCGAAGAGGAGGCTTGAGGTTTAATAGTATTGGTTGAGTTTAATACTTTCTGATTATGAGGATTTGTGGAGGCCATGTTGGGCGACATAGGATCATTGGACATAGGATTGTACATAGGATCATTGGACATAGGGTACCTCAATAAATGTAATAGATTTGTAGTGTTGTAATTAGTTTAAAACTACAAAATGTTTTGCATGGAAGCCATATTTAAACCACGCTAGGTCGGTGATCATTCCAGAATAAATTACAAAATATAAATTCGATCGAGGCAACTACTTAAATATTCCCAAAAATAATTTAAAGACTTGATTTCTCTTGGAGAATTTCTCTTTAGACTCTTAACTTGCGAACAAATTGAAGCAGCAAACTTTAGGCTAGAAACTTTATTGAATTGAAATAATCATTCCACGTAACAACGTCTTCTTCAGTTCTGTAATAAAATTTGCTTCAATTTGTTCGCAAGTTAAGAGTCTAAAGAGAAATTCTCCAAGAGAAATCAAGTTCAAATGCGACTCATAAATATAGCCCCCTTGAACTAATTTAAAGACGATTTAAAAAATTAATCTTTAAAAAATAAATCTTTAAAGAATAATCTTTAAAATATTTTGGGGAATATTTTGACTTGATATAACGATGTCGTCGTAATGACACACGTAACTGATCGATCAACTTATTTGATAGTGTTTTTAAAATAAAGTATTTATATTTTTAACTTGGGGTGAAAATATTTGTATTTCTACCTATTACTAAGTAAATATAATTATAAAAATTAAACGTTGTTTTGTACCTACTTATGAATGCAATTGGAATTTTGAATTGTAAAATATTTTTCATTGTTGATGGACTATAGTTCACATAGCCATGTGTATACGCCTTCGGCGGTCGCGCACTACTGCGAGCGCGAGTTGCTCTATCCAGAGCCCTTGCGCTTGCAGTAGCGCGCCCGCCTCACGGCGGTAAAAAGGGCTCTAGCCATCAACCCACCCAACGATTTTGGCACCACTCTACAGTGGTGCCAAAATTACTCGCACTTTTGTCCTCATATGCGACGTGTGTAGCTTTTCAGACATTTATTGCGTAAACGAGATGTCGTACGTCACCTTAAGATCGGGTGACAGGGGGCTCACCATGCCCGAACCTAATTGATCATTGATTGGGTCTTAGGTCACGTGATTATGAGCCATGAGGTCACGTGACTATGACGTCACCAGACCTTGTCCTATGTTTCCCGCTCATTGGACCAGGTGAGCTTGCATGCTTGTGATTGTAGGTGTAAGTACAGCTGTACTGTAGTTTATACCTAATTAACCCCTATACACTGTCACTATGCACTATAGAAACCTGAAAAGTGGTTACTGCATACTGGAGGGAGAAGTGCCAAGACTACCTGCGCTACATAGACGCTGTTGTCAGCACTGCTCACGCGCGCACGAACCTTCCCATCGGGGTTCGTGGATAGGTGCTTTTCTTGACTTGTGAAACAAGCGCGCCCGAAGTGGCGCGAAAGCACATGGTTAGGTGAAAGCGCGAGCGAGAGGGCTCTGGTTAGAGCAATGTTGCATTTATAATGTATAATGTCTTAAAAGTATAATATTAAGCCGACCTCAATGCAGGGTGGGACGCCCCGGACCATGCTGTTGTATTAATACTTAACGGCCGGTGATACTCGTAAAATATTTGTTCCAATATTTGTAAAATGATTGTTCCAATTATCAGGACCTTCGACGAGTCCAACTCGGCGCGCGTCCCGGTAGGTTGTAAACCTACAATATTAATACTTGTAGATTGTAGATGTTATCCGCTGCGCGATATTGTTTAGCTTTTCTTTTTCCCTATATGTTGTGGCTTACGTCGCGGTATTATTTGTTACTGGGCCGCGCTCAGCCTGTCATTCCGCCTAATCTCTATTCGTTAATATGTTAATGAACATTATAGCCTGGGGTCTTCAGGTAAATTATTTGTAGCCGCGATGCACTACTGGGCCGGGCCGCGCATCAAATAATTCTTTTCGCAACCACAGTAGATCGGAAAAGTGCAAAGCTCTCGCGCTATACATGCACTATAATAGCTTCAGAAATAATTTTCCTGATTGTCGATGTTCTGTCATTTTTCATTTTTATTGAGACTAAAGAAAGAGTTAAGTGAGTACTACATACTAAGTATATACTTAATCAGTAGTCAATGACCAGCTCACAGTACATTACATTAATGTTAACTAAATGATCTTTTGCATAATGCTAAATCCTAAATATAATAATAGAAAGAGGAAAGTATTAAAGTACTTTACTTTTCCTTTACATAATATGTTGTACATTAAATTGTCCCAATACTATTAATTATAAGTAATGATTCTGAACCAGCCATCTATTGACTGAAGACCGTACCCGGCTAGCATTTATTCAGCGATCATGTTATGTCAAGCATACATAGTATCATTGTTATGCCTGAAGTGGTTTGTCAATGGGCCATTGTTAGCCCCGAGCGTGTTGGTTCTTCATTCCTACCACTCAGTATTGTTTATTGTTAAGTAGAATGGTTCTAAAAATATAGTAGAAAAACGGACTGAATTGTGAGGATTGCTCTTGTAATGGAAGTATTTTTGTTAGTGTCTCAAAGCTTTGTCAGAGTGCACACTGGCTAGATCAGTGATGTTTTGGGGATAGAAGTTAAATTTGTCCATATTTAGGAATAGAGCTAACAAACGAAATTCTACCACTTACCAGGGCATAACCGTGCACACAGCACATTCAGTGGCGTAACGTTGCCTGTTGGCGCCCCCCTGCCGAAAAGGCGCCCCCCTGTTGGCGCCCCTCCCCTTTTGGTGCCCCTCCCTAAAATTGAACAAATTAGTTGATTTTAGAGGATACGCAGATAAAATCTCTAAAAAAGTGTGTATCTAGAGCAAAACGCGCAGTTTTGCTAGTACTTTAGTTAAGTTTTCGAAATTGTCCCACATTCAAACGACGATTTGGCGCCCCCCTAAGACGGCGCCCCCCTGCACAGCAGGGTCAGCAGGGCCCTTTGTTACGCCACTGAGCACATTGCAGGGTAAATCGTCCTTGTTGTATCATCGTGCAGATAGGCGGCTTTTAAATTGGAAACAATTATCTGATGAACAAGCAATAAGTACACTACTTATATTACATATCTGCAAATCATTGGACTTGAAATTCAATGGTGTGGTTATTGGAAATTATGCCACTGTTACTTATACAACTGTAGTTACATAATTTGAATAATTGTACTGTTTGGCATTTTCCCTTGGGAAGACTATTTGTTGTTTCAGTAGAAATCTTATTTTGGAAAAAGATTTATCTATCTGTGACTGTTTGTCTTGGGCGTACATGATTTTGCGATTTTAATTGTGTGATTTCGATAAAAGAAAAAGAGAAGATAATTTTTTGATTTGATAATGTGTTAATTGTATAATACATTTCTATCTTTACTACAACGAAGGATTTAGCTACACTATCTGTCATGGAGGTAGGGGATCACGGACATGAAACTGTGTGTCCTCAAAGTCAAGATCTTCATGCTTCTAACAATTGGCGGACCCTATGCTTTATCTGTTTGTTTGTACTTACAGCAGACTCAGTTATACTTTATGTCATTTACGGGTAATTTGAGTGTTAATGTGCAAGCACAGCAGATAATGGGTGGTGTAGCAAAAAGGGGTTTGAACGAACACAGGCATATTCTGTATAGTAGTTTTTCGTTTGTTTTGAAATACGCTATAAGACACATTATATATCTAGATGTAGTTTTTCAAGTTTCACTTATTCTATTTTTATTGTCACATAGCAGAAAGATGGTTTCATTTTCAAATACAAGTGACAACTCAGACAAGTGTCCTGAAAACATCAACAGTCATGTCAACATGAGCAGTGGATTGACATTGGTCGTGGTCTACATAGCAGTTTTATCCTTCAACAGCCTTATCATATTTGTCATATTTGGGTAATGCAGCATTTCTTTTCGTGTCATATTTTTATTGTTTTATGGAATATCTTTAAGTCTCTGTCATTTAATTATCATCTCTTACCTGGTTTGTACATTTTGACATTTTGGGCATACCTGAACAGTATCTCAGTATTAACTGAGCCATGTTTTCCCCTAAGCATGTCGATTTAATTACAAATTTAAGAATATCATATTTTTCCATCAGGGTGAAACACAGAAGTTTAAGATGGAGTTTAGATTATCTTGTATCTTTTCTCGCTATAACAGGTACAGTGTACACCGCAATGTTATATCATTTGGTACATGATACATGTAGGCCCAATGGAGCATGTTAAAGTGTTTTACAGAAGTTACCATACCAACAAATATATTTAATTGATTGTATTCTTTCTGGTCGTGGCACAGCTTATAACGCTAAATGAGTAAATGAGCGTTGTATCATGACTTGTAACAGATGTTCAAATGACAACAGGTACTCAAAACTCATATCTTTCAGATTTAGTCAGTACTCTAGTAGGAGTTCCTATACCTATAATAGCATACATGCAAGGATTCTGGCCAGGGAGTTGTACCAGCGGAGCCAATCAATCCTTTAGTACTTTTAATATTACATGTAAACTTGTGAGTATATTCAAATATTTATCTATCATATTGGAAATTTACAGCCGAAAAGAAAAATAACTGTCATGATTTAAAAACCTTTTCTTTATTTCCCGTAAAAGTCCATTTGTTCAATTTCTCCATCACAATACTGTTCAACTAATTTGCCATTTTGTTTCAGTTTTATTTGTTCCTGGTATGGGGCCGGCTGAGCACAATGTTTATCATCACAATGATGTGCATTGAGCGGTTTTTAGCTATCACCAGACCCTTTGTACACAGAGAAATTGTTACAGCAGGTGAATGAATTTTGGTACACGCTAATAATACTTATAGAGGGCAATACACTCGTGCACTGTGTAAACTTTTGACACTAAGATTTAAAGTAATGTTTAGGTAAACCAGACTGGATCGAGTCACAGTGATATAGAATATGCTAATGATATTGTTAATTTTGCAGGACGATTACGGAAATGTGTCTATGGAATATGGACCTCCATGTTTGTCTATTCACTCCTCCCGATATTAAATATTGGTCATGTAAGTTACACATAGGTGCTCATCGTGGCTTTGTCTACAAAACATATCAAAGATACAAATATTTATCACGTTACTAAAATATTCCACAACACATCTTATTTCTTAAATTCAGCTGAAAGTTTACACCATTTTCCAGGTTAAGTTACATTGGAATGTACATTTAGACGCCGGAGAGACTACTACTTCATCTGATCCACCATACTTCTTCTGTTTTATGGACTACAGTGACTTAGATGTGCGTTACAGAGTAGCCAACAATCAAATGTCTTCTAAAATCATCATGAATCATCTTATCATTAAAACTATGCAGATAAGACTGACAGTTCTATTGTATCGTGACATTGCCTCTAACAATCTTTCCACCAGGTTAAGCAGTCAAGTGGTTTGGGAAACCTAATATACTCCATAATATTCGTGCTGTTCGGCTGTATAAGTCTGACGATAGTGATAACGTGTGTCTTCTTTATCTGTCGTATTCTCCTGGTTCGCAGACCAAGGTTCAACGCTACCAGTAGCAAAAAACCGGTAAGTTTTTAGATAAACCGGTAAGTTTTTAGATTCAACTATAGTGGTGCTGACCGACAATTTATACAACAGTGTGAATTTGCTGTTTCATGGAGGGAACAAAATAAAACTAGGTTCTGCCCAATTTTAAATAACTGAGACTGTTTCCTCAGACATCAGCCTCCAAAACATACTCAGTGAAAGCGCCCGACGCCACCGACGAAGACCAAAATACAGTCAAAAATAAAGTGGTCGGTAAACCCTCCATCTTGGACAAGAGCAAATCTTTCCTGGCAAAGAGGCGCCCTCAGATCAAGAAGTTTGAGCCAGAAGAGCTGCAGTTTATTGCTCTGATGTTGATGATAGCAGGGGTGTTCTACATTACCTTTCTGCCGACCATGGTGAGATTTCTTATCATACCATATTTATTGAGGATATTTCGATCCTGATTTAGTGTACCCTGGTTTACCTTGAGGTTCATACGTCGATTTACTTGTTTCTTCCTGAATAAAACTCCATTTTCGGTTGTTTAGTTTAAAACAAAACCCTGATTTACCGAAGAAATCGGTCTGAACAATCGGGGATAAACTGCACTCGGTACTGTTACTGAAGTATTGAGGGGGAGCTGTAACTTCAACCACTATGCAATGGCCATGATGTAACCTATATTTAATAAAAAACGATCTAAACGATTTTTAAAAACGTTTAGTGGCAGTGGATCGAGATTTAATGGATTATTTGTTTCTTGATCGAAATACACAGAAACATCTAAATACCCATGAACCATGACATAATTGTTTGAGGATAGGTGAAGGGATCAAATAATGATGTAATGATACATTGCTAGCAGCTGTTTCTTGTAAGCTTGTAAAATAAAAACATATATATTTTCACTACTTTAACTATATTTTACTCCTGACATATTAATTAAGTGTCTCATCATGCGAGACGACTCAGTTTCACGGTGAATGACTCCCCCTCACTAAGATAAAGTAACACGTGTGTATACTGAATACAACATAATATTACTATATTAAGTACATAGTATTATATAACTCATGGTACATTTAATTGGTTTCATCTCTCCTCCTCCTCCTACGTAGTAAGTATGATAAGTAGTATACTTATTACCCGAAATATATTATATGAGTTCCACAGTATGTCATGTAGATTGTAGGGAATGTGTTGCTAGATACTCTTATTACACTCACACAGTGTGATACAACTAGTCTAGTAGTCTACCTACAGATCATTATATACAGTGTGTTCACAGTTGACCTGAACTCCACACCTGTTCCGCTGTTCCTCCCTTCTCCACGCTTAATTTGCTCTATAAGGGTCTGCCCACACTGCTCCCTAACACTCCACTATTTGCTCTATAACACTTCACTATTTGCTCCCTAACACTCCACTATTTGCAGTAACACTCCACTATTTGCAGTAACACTCCACTATTTGCTCTATAACACTCCACTATTTGCTCTATAACACTCCACTATTTGCAGTAACGCTGTCCACAAAGCCACTAAAACACAGATAAATAACAGAGAGACAGAGTTGAGAGACTGTTGATGACTTATAATATACTAACGTAGTCTTTAGCCGGCTGGATTATAGGGTTAACCAAGTTACCGATCACACTCGGCTGAGCCCTGGGGCCCAACATTTAGCAGCCATGCCAAATATTTGAGATCTATACATTCTCCTCATGTATGTTTATACCTACTTTCTCATCTCATTATTTCCAACACAAAAGAGGCACGTCTGTTACGGACAGGTAAGGTGTAAATACACCAGCACTTTCCCGGTGCAGGCCAATAGTAAACTCTATCACGGCTCACCAATGAGTTGCGCTACATATAAGCTCAAAGTGGCGGTCTGGTCGTCTTGCTCCCTCAACGGTGTGGGTCACGTGGTTTGGGTCACGTGGTTTGGGTCATGTGGTTTGGGTCACGTGGTTTGGGTCACGTGGTTTGATGAAAACCAATTACATATGGGTTTATAGGTATCGGATGTGCCATCTAAAAATAATGTGGCCAGTGGTGAAAATTCGATGTAACATTACAATGCGGCTTTCTAAGTGAGATAATATTTCAGGTTCTCGTTATATCCAACATCGCTGGACATGGGCTGAGCGAGAATTTTACCTTCTGGTCCATGAGGTAAGTTAATTTGATAATTAATTGAGTTAATTAAGTGAATTAATGTGGATGTTTGTAAGGTATTGTTACGTGTTTGAGTCACGGGAATTTCCATGAACATGTTGGCATTTACTCTGTTATCAGTCAAATATGTACATATGCTAATAATAAAATTAAAATGTATCAACATGAAGTGACACCCTTGCTTTATGTCCATTGATTCTCGCATTGCCACCAAGTAATTATTCTGGCAGCAAGTCCTTACGAATCCTTGTTATTATTACTGCACGTAAATTAGCTAAGCCCTGTTGCTAAGGTAACACGACTAAAACGTAGACAAGTAGACAGTTCACTACATGTTATTTAACAATGAAACATGTCCAGGCTATCTCTTATCTCCGAGTTATTACAAAGTCGTGTTACCTGGCTCCGTTAAAAAGTTATAAACTTACATACTTTTCACTTTTTGCCACTCTTGAGGATAATAAGCCAACATTTCATTTTCTTATCTCAAAAAGAAACTCACTCTCTCTCCCCTGACCAGGTTAACGTCCTTTATAGTGGTAGTGAACCCGCTGATATACGGGCTAAGTAACAAGATATACCGTGTTGGCTGCCTCTATGTCCTCAAATCCTGCGCTGGTTTCTTCTGTTGCAAGAAGATCCCCGTTCCTGAGCGTCTAGGTATGTTACACAGCATTGTGAATAGTGGTGCAGGTACTTTTGTGTGATTGTGTGTGAGTGGTTCGTGTGTGATAATGTGAATTGTGAAGCCGCGTGTGTGTGAGTGTGACTGTGCGTGTAACTGTGTGTGTGTGTGTGTGTGTGTGTGTGTGTGTGTGTGTGTTTGTGTCCAAACTTAAAGAGTGTTGAAAGTCGTTTAAAATACAAAAAGTGAAATATTATAACCAATTTTAAATCAATCAATTTATATTATTAAACCAATCGATTGGAATAAAATACCCATTCTCCCAAAATATCAGCTCAACAACACTTTGCTGAGACACGAGTCCTTGATAGTGCGTTATTTTCACTCCATCACGTCATACGTCTTTACGCTCACTTGTTACCTTGTGATGTACTGAACATTCAAGTATAGATTCATCTGTCATCGGTGTCCCTTGCCCACCGACCGCCTGCTAGGGGCGACCAATAATCAAAGAATTTTACAGGGAAATATGTAGGTTTCATAATTACATTACCACGTGGTCGACTTTCAGTTCCATATTTGACCATTTCGACTTCACTAATTCATAGACTATTTTGTTTTTACCTGTGACACTTAAAAGGATTGAAATGTGCGGTAAGAGATAAATTTACCTGACTTTCGTAACTATTTGTTACGTTTGTGATTTAAATACACGAAAATATTGAATATTTGACACCTCAGTACTTCACTTACTTCCAACCTGCAGAAAAGAATGTTCCTCCTCAAATCATTGATTACAAGTTTCGCCCAAAATTTAAAAAGTCCTCCGTGCACTTTCAGTCGACGTAATTGAAACATGTTGCTAGTGAAATATGGACATGGTGCCCACCCCAGATGTGGCAATACTCAGTAGCCATAAACTCATTAAATACTTGACACAATCATTGCATTTTCGGGTCAATCTTCATATTTAAATCCTTTGATGTTTAATAAAATCAATCATGTGTTTAATAGAATCAATTATATTCAACTTCACGTGTACTGCTCAAACTTAAAACTTTGTTCGATAGCGACTCAAATTCATAATCACCATTATCGACACGACAGTATACACTGGGGAAATAAAGAAGCCAGTGATTGGTTACCAAGGTGACCATTTAATACAGTTGTGCGTCAGCTCCCTCGCCGTAGGGCCAGTTAAATATATATTCACTGTGTCAACTTATCACTGGTCACCAGTACTATGGACACGTACTGAAGTTACATTTTCAACAATTGTAACAACAACAACTAGACTCTGGAGTTTATGGAATTTAGACATCTATTCTTATCCTAGGAATGACCACTCGAAATCTTAAGCTTTCTTTGCTGTTACAAGTTGAACTATCGAAGAAGCACTTGATTGGCAGGCTCTACAAGTCATGTGTGAAGCATATTTATATATTGTATAGTCCAATAATTCGTTACGCTACAACACGGTGCAATGTAATCTATTATAACCATTGTCTCGTTCAAGTACCGCAGTGAGTCGCGTAAAGTTATAATTATATTATGTTAATAACCCGATATATCGGGTTAGTCTAACTATTCACATAATTATATATTTTCATCATGGCACTCCGTACATTGTGATCTTCACCGATATAACCGATCACTGTAGCAAGCCCTACTAGGAATGTAAAATGTAGAGCCTTAGCAACAATGTGATTATAGGTCAAACCTTGTGTTTACCGTTATGTAAAAAACGGGAACCGGACACGAGGGTATAGGACACAAGGGCGGTACTTTCTTAAAAGGGCGGACACGAGGGCGAATCACATGAATCAAATTAACATGAACAAACGAGCTTTTTGATGTTCTCAACAGTCTGGTTGAGGTAAAGCTTAGCTCGAAGAATTGGATCTACTCACGTGTAAATTTGAAACAAAACATAGTGATGTCACAAATAATCACCCAGATTTGAACGAGCCAATAATTGAGAGATTTTCCTTGAATATCTCAGCCAGCTCAGCAGCTAGATGTTCATGTGACAAACTTGGCCTTCAAAATATCACAGTCGCTGATGCTACGGTTACCCGGGTTTAGATCAGGGGTAGTACGTACCAAAACGGGTATTTACTCTGGGTAGACGCTCTTGCGTCCACCGCCCTTGTTTCATACGCCCTAGTATCTTATACCCCAAGATGAATGAACAAGACGAATTCTTCTTCTTTATTATAGAAGTTAGGCGTATATTTGGAGCACAAAACCGCCCAAACAGCATAGATGCATTAGACTTTGAGAAGTTTATAATTTTTAATTTGATGTGTACAGGCTGACTAACTACCATCACTCTTCAGTCTAAAAATAAACTGAGTTTCATTAAGTCCTAATTGGCCGACATTTGCAGGTCAAGCTATCAAACTCACTTTCTCATCTCAAAACTCGTTCGGATATTTAGTCACGTACATGGAAAAAGAAGAAAAAGACCACAAGACTACCTAATTTTCAGCCAACAAAAGCCCTAGCTTCCTACCCTTTTAAAAAATCAGACTAATTAATTGAAATTAAACAGCACCAAGGAGGGCGCAAATTCTTTCCCATAAAAAAATCCAATAATGTTAGGCTTGTATGTCTTCTGAGGAGGTTGGCAGTAACACCTTGATTTGGGTGCTGCACCAGGAAACCAACACGTTCTGATTGTTTTGACGAAGAGAAGCAGTTCAAGTGCTGTTCACTGACGTGGAATCCACTGTGTCTAAATACGCATCATGCCATAATCCGTTAACACATGATAGTCAAATTAGTCCAAATGTCACATAATTCAACTTGTGTATTCAACCAACTGGCAAACTTGGAATCACATTAAATGTAGTGGATGGAAATGCAGGTATGATGAAAGAAACCTGTGTTAATGTAGTCGCAATAAAAGCGACTTATCAGATGAAACCTTATAAGATACACTTGACGCCAGGCAGTGTCAGGCAAACAACCTGAATAAGTGGGGGTCCTTTACTGAATTAGAGTGGGCTTGAAGGGTTCAAATATCAGATAGTGTGTTTTAATAAAGGATGAGAAAACACCTTCCGGTGGGTTATTTTTGGTGATTAAACCGACCTTAGATGACAGATAAGTTTTCTCAGTTTGTCGTAATAACTAAAACTTTAAACTTTCTGATATGATCTTGTAGCCGGAAGCTGGTAACTGAACTCAGCTAAAGTCTTGGTGCCTAGCAACACGAGATATAGGATATTAGGCTCTCTCTCGGCTATAGTGTACAGACCTCATCAGCCCAGACGGTATGTTCCCATTTTGAGGACACACGATCCTGTTACTTAGTTTTTTACTTTTAGTTCCTCAATATTGAGCACATGAACTCTGAAAGGGGTATTATCTATCACATTACCCTGAATTAGTCCGGAGTGCAGACTCAGTTCAGGATTATGTAGGAACATTACATGTATTCTGTATAGATGAATTAGGGAGAAGACTTATGGAACCAGTATATCTCCTGTCTTTGGAGCTAAAATTAATGTTTTTGGCTCCTTACCCGTTTACTGACTACAGACGTAGTAAACTAAAGTATTGACATCTCCTTCTTGCGTCTAGTAATACTGATTCAGTATTGTCATATCCAAGTTAGTGAGTAATTGAAGCTTAAAATCCAACATTTCAATTGTTTTAATCCAGACAATAATCTCGATGCAAAGTGCACTAATTTATGTTGCAATCAACAGATTTCAGTTCAGACCCACAGACGCGTTTACAATTCGACTCAGGGAACTAATACTTTTCTTGAAACTAAATAAGTGCTACCTTCTTGACGGAGAAGCTTGTGGGATGGGAATGCGGCAAACATTTACATAGGGTTTTAATACTCCGAATGTTTCTTGAGACCCATACTTTCTAACATAAAGTACGTTAGTGCGCCCCTCTTGGCATTTTTATTGATTCCGAGGCTTAAATCTGGTAAACGTACTTCGATGCTACTCGCGTCTTGCTAGAGACCCAAAACATGTCTAGTTTGTCTAATTTCAGTTAAAACTATCGAAGTCTCGAGATATAGTCAGATCCAATATTACTGATGTCTAATTTAAGTTAAAACTCTCGAACGCTCGAGATATAGTCAGATCCAATATTACTGATGTCTGATGATGATGATGATTATAATATGTTACTCACAGTGCAGATATCAAATTCGATAAGTATTATGTTATCAAACATAAATAGCCTATAACATTTGACGAACATGCTTATTATATTATTATTGTGAATGTTAAAACGTTAGTTATTCCGATACTGGTCTAACGGTATTAATTATAATCTAGATGTTAAACCTGCATAAGTATTTCGGCCTCGGGGCTCGGCCTCAACTAAAAATAGTATAAAACAGTTAATTTACTAAATAACTAACCCTTAACAATTTGTAACAGTTGTATAATTCAATCAATTTCACTATAATAAAGTAATAATCAACTGTTATAGTCGCTATTCAATATACGTACTAATTACAACACCACAAATCTATCACATTTGTTGAGTATCATGTAATGGGATGGACGGGTTTTAACCAGCAGTCCACACCCTGGTTCCATGATATGAAGAAGTTGTTGGAATTCTAGATTCTATCTCAAATACCAGTGTAATATAGGTACCTACCTGTTCAAATTGAAGTACTGGTAAGGTAATCTGGTTTCACAAAAGTGTCCCATTAACTTAATTTGCGGACACAACAGCGGCATTATCAAAATACCTACACCTAGCCTACTTTCTCCACTTTATATCTAGCCTACCTTCTCCACTTTATGGAGCCGTCTCTACAAATTGACCTGATTGTACGTTACATTTTTAAAATTTTATAAAATCTGTTCGTGAGTCACTATAGGCTCCACGTACACACCCGGAACTGGAGAGGCAATACCACTTCCTGATGACAAAATAATATGCCGAGCTGTGGGATAAAGCCTGGTAAATCTCTAGTTTCCCTGTGAACTTCCAGATCCAGTGAAACTTGATACTCAGATCACTATTAGTCTATTAAGGAGGGATTTACAGT